TCTTTCATTAGTGGCTTAAGATGGACACTCAACCAAATTGTGCTGCAGAGAGAAGATATTGGTTGTTTGTTTGTTTGCTCCATTCTGTGATAATTGCGTTATTTTTTTTGTTTTGAGTGCTATTTTTTGGTTGTTTTTTCTTGTGTATTTCTATTTTTATTAGTTTCGTTTGTTGACAGTTACAAAAAATTTCAAATTAAAAATGTCCAGTCTGTTTTTAAAGTAGATGACGTTTAGCAAAAAATAATAGACTATATTAAATATGTTGAATATATATGAAAAAGTATCTGGAGAAGTGGTAAGGTTGGCTCTCAGAAAAACTAGAGTAAAAGTTGGTTGGTAAAAACCCTGGGAAGGACAACTACAATGATCTAGTGAGAAGGCTATAAAGAACAAAAATTTATGTTACAAATTTTGAAAGGAATAAAAAGAATTTTGATAAAAAATGGTATCTGCAGTAAAAACTTTATATTGAATATTATGAAGGTTTAACGAATCCTATAGACATGATGTATCACATTCAACCCTGGATGATCCTCTCTCTTCTTCCTTTGTCATCAGGATTCGAAGGTACTTCCATCAGAATATCATCCTATTTTTAATATTAATTTCAAAGTAATTGAGTGAGACATGACTATGTGGAGTTGATTGATTTGAAACATTAATGGTGGAGTGGGTGCTGTAATTGTTACGTAAAACAGCACATGGACTGTATAATTTAAAATGACCTTAAAACGTGAAGTTTATCTTAAGTATTTAATTTTAAGTATTTAGGAAAAAAAATTTAATTTAAAAATTCATCCGAATAACTTATTTATATATAATATAATTATATTTTAAAATTAGTAAATTTAATTTTGTTTTATAATGAGATCAAAAATTTAATTAATTTAAGCTCAGTTTAATTTAATGTATTTTCATTTAATGTATTGTAACACACACCAACTCAGCAATGAAATTAGCCACAAGTGAGCAAGCGTTCGCTTTCCAAGATGAACATCAAGTAATTTTTAATATGGGAATTCTTCTGTTTGGTGCAGTGTTGGCCTTCATGCTTGAATATTCAGAATTCATGGTTGTGTCACAATCATCTGGTCTCACTCTATCCATTGCTGGCATTTTCAAGGTTAGGATCAGTTAGGGACTGCATTGTTAATACGGATTGTTGTATTGGCTTAAATTATTTTGTTTGTATTTAATTTTATCTTTTTATCATTTTGGTGTTTGCAACAAGATTTTCCAATATGGGAACATAAAATTATAAAAATGCTTTTCAAATATGTGGTATCAAATTTTCGATGTAATTTTTACTTGAATATATGTTCACAATTGTTGGCTATTTACTTATTGATTAAAATATAATTTAGAAATGATTTATTTTACCAGTTGCATTTGGTAGGTAGGTGAACGATAAAATATTGAGTAATATTTTTTAAAAATTATTTTCAATTTGTGATAAGTTTGTAAAATTAAGCTTGGCATTTAATAAAATTCAAAATATCACATAGTAAAATTGAATGATTGAATGACAGGAGGTGCTGACATTGTTGCTGGCTGCTTTCATAAACGGGGATGAGATGAGTTTGGTTAATGCTGTTGGTTTACTCATGTGCCTGGCAGGTATAGTACTTCATGTTCTTTTCAAGTACAAGCAAACAGGTACTTCTTTTTGTTTAAATATAATTTCTTCTAGCTTTCTCATTTTTGTTTGTGGTAGTTGGATATAAATTATTAATATTTAAATATTGCATTGTATTATAATGTCTTGTTTGGTCTGTTTGGTCTCTGTCAGCTATTTTTGTTATTGTAGATCCGCAATTGACAATACTGACTGACTAGTCTAATCAATCAATCTTCGTTTAGCGTCCAGAGACCCAGTTTCCAGAGGTAGGACGTTGTTTTTTTGCCATCAACTTTTTGCGCCAAATTAGACGATCAGTTGTATCCATTTCATTTAAATTTAGAGCTTTCATGTCTTGCTCGATTGTTTGCGACCAGGACTTCTTTGGACGGCTTTTTGGACGTGTGCCAGGTACTTCAACATCTGCAAGAGAAGTTATGGCACTGTTTCCACATCGTTTGACATGACCAAACCACCGCAGACGGTGTTGCCGGCATTCGTCCTTTATATTATCTAAACCAGCATGACGCACGATTTCGGTAAATTTGATGTGGTCCTTCAGACTTTTTCGTTGCATCCATCGGAACATTTTCATGTCGGTTCGTTGAAGTTGTTGTTCCAGTTTGGTTGTCATTGGCCATGTTTCTGCACCATATAACAACACCGGACATATCACAGATTTATAAAGTCTTGATCGTAGTGGAAGTGGGATGTCTCGCCACATCAATATAGAGGCAAGGAGATGCCAGTTATTTCAGGCTGCACGTATGCGTGCTCGAACGGTAGCTTCAGCTGTTCCTGTACAATCCAGAACATCCCCTAGATATTGAAACGATGAGACTTTCTCTACCTTAATGTCTTCAAAAAAATTGCTATTTCGAATTTGTTGTTGTGGGTTGATGCAAGCAGGACAAACAAAGTTGGACACTTTAGATAAAGTACCAATTATTTTTGAACAACGTTTGTGACACCACTGGCTACACTGCTGACACTTGATTGTATTGTTACCTACACCAGCTTTACAAACTGAACAGGGCCATCGTCCATTAGCTGTGGATTGGATGGGTTCACCAGTGTTCATTGCTTTGGTTTTGCTTATGTTGACTTTGAATCCATGAACGGCCAGTCTGGTGTTTCAATCTTCAAACATCTGTGCTACATTCTGCTCAGACGTGGCTGTTAAAACGATATCATCAGCATATATTAGATTCCAAATGTCAGCAGTGCGTATCGGTTTTGTAATTTCTTCCATCACAGTTATAAATAACAGTGGACTGAGAATCGAGCCTTGGTGAACTCCAACGCCGATGTCAAATGCATCTCTGTTTCCAACCGTTGTGCTGACGAGAGTCTTATTATTCGTATACATTTCCATCACAAGTTGAACAAAATATTCTGGAATGAGTTGTTGACGTAGACTCCACCTGATTGCTTCACGGGGAACTCAATCAAATGCTTTTTCAAGGTCTACAAAAATGATAGTTGTTGATCCTTTGCGAGGTACTTCTCTTGCAGTTGCCGAAGGATGTGAATTGCATCAATTGTTGATTTCCCCGCTAAGAAACCAAATTGATAATTTCTGATTGTGATGCACTTTGTACACTGTCATTCTACCACCATGTGTCCCGTTCATGCCAACGTTTTGTACCAGTTTTCCAACAAACTTTAGTTGCAGCGTTTATCAAAACGGTTTTGTATGTAATCCAATCTGTACTGGCTTGCCTTTGGTGGTCTAACTGTGTGGCGACAATTTGTTGAAATTTTTCTCGATGAATATTGTTTTTCAGCCTCCACGTTTTGATTCTCCGAGGCATTTGTTTAGACTTATGTTTTGACAGTTTGACAACCAGGTCTGCCATAAGGAGTCTATGTTGGGCGACACATGATTCGCTAGGTATAACTTTGACATTTTTGAACAGCCTTCGGTGTTGTTGCTTGACAGCAAAAAAAAATCAATTTGCGTGGCTGATGGTCCACTTTTGTATGTTATGAGATGTTCCAACCTCTTTCTAAAATATGTGTTCAGTAAACAAAACCCGTGACTTTCAGCAAACTCAAGGATGCGGTTGCCATCTTCATTCCGTTCTCCATAGCCAAAACCGCCATGTACGTTGTCAAAACCATCTGACAAACACCATTCGATTTTTATCGGGTCTCCTGAAGGCAGCAGATATCAATCCTTCTACGCTCGAGCATTTCTGCGATTTCCATGCTGCGGCCAGTCAGTGATCCAACATTGAGCGTTCCAAGTCTAAGTATACCATAGAGGGGCCAGTCTGATTTTTTTTGCAACATCCCTTCGCTATTGCATACTTCCCAGGGGTTCTTGGCATCCCTTGACCACCTAAGGCCCGCTGGGGACTAGGGGCCGTTGTCTTTCGTTGTGATGGCATAGGAATAATTTGGGGAAAAGTTTTTACATCCTGACAAGCATCCTGACGACAACCACCAGTTATAAACGGTGGGCCTAGCCTTTTGCTCAAAAGCACGCAAGGCAGCGTGGATGCAGTTTTATGTCATGCCCAGGACCAGCAGACTAGTCTAATATTGACTGAATATTTTTTTATATATTTTGTGTCATTTGATTTAAAGAATAAAAAATTATGCGTTTGTTATAGCTTTATATCACATTGAATGACTACTTCAAGGTTTGTTGATATATATATATATATAGATATATATATATATATATTCATATATATACATATATATACATATATATACATATATATATATATAACTAGCATGACAAAAACGGTTTAAGTACAGTTTATTACGGTGTATTATTTAAACGTTTTATTAGCATCTCTAAGCTTCCGTATATATTTATATATATATATATATATATATATATATATATATATATAGGATAACGTTTGTCAGAAAATGCAAGAAATGCAATTATTGGTGAAAATCGCAGCATGTTCGTCGTTAATTAACTTAATAAATATTGAGTTAAGATTATATATATATATATATTTGAGCATCTGGGCACATGCACAACATATCAATTTGAACACCGAAGATGGTATAGGAATACCGAAAAAAGCTTTTTTGTTCTGTCATGCATAAAATAAACCAAAATTTTGGTTTTGAACTAATGAAGCTTGAAAATGATTATATATATATACATTATATATATATATATATATATATATATATATATATATATATATATGTTGTATATATATATATATACATATATTGAATTGAATTGAAACAATCTTTTATTCAGCAAATTATCACAATAATAAATTACTAGGAGACCAGAAGTTTTCACTTGTTAGGCCACCTTGTAAGAAAAGAAAAGTAAAATAACTTTTAATAAACATGATATCAAAATAAAAATAGAATTAACAGTTTGACCAGAGCAATTTCAAACATTATTAAACGATGAAAAATAATTTTCCAAGATTTAATGATGAACAGACTGTTTAAACGATCTTAGCGTTGGCAAATTTTTAACATGCATTGGTTAAATATCCCATAGCCGACTCGACACATGAAATACAAAATTAATTATGATATTTGTGCGAGGTTTCGGTAAGCAAAAATCCGAGTTATTTCTTAAAACTATGGAACGGTGAGTTAATAAACGATTGAACTGATGGTTTAACGAGGGGCAGTAATTTAATTTAAATAATTTATAAAAAAAACTTTAAAGTAAATGGAATGTGTAATTGACAAATTTTCAAAATTTTTGATGACGTATAAAAATGACTAATGTGATCAGATTTAGGTAAACCGAACGGTATACTAAGAAAAAATTTTGACAAACGTTTAAAATATGGATATTTGACATTGTACTAAAACCCCAAATAGATATACAATGTGTAATATATGGCAAAACATTGAATAATATAATGTAAATTAAACATGATTAGGAAATTTAGACCTAAGACGATATATCACACCTAAATTTGAGGCCCATACAAGATCTTAAAATACTTCAAGTTTTTTTTACCATTTTCATTACTTTATTAAATAGATAATAATAATGCAGCTTCTCTGAAATTTTGCAAAGTTTTAAAAATAAATTTTTATATTTAATATACCGTAAACGATCAGATAATGCCTTTGATTTTAGAAACCTATTGTACAAAAGGTTTTTAGTTTATGAAGATATCATTAAACCATTCGTAATCCATGGCTGTTTTTTATTTTTGTGTGGTGAATTTGATGAATTACAATATTGCAAAACAGTACGTTTAAAAACATTAATAAAAAATAAAAATGCCGCATCTATATCAAAACACAATTAAACAGAGGATTTCAATCAAAATTATTAAGAAACATATTTAAATTACGAATATTATTATTACAAAAATTAAATGAATGATTAAATAAATTAGAAGTTAATAGAGGAGTATTAAGATTTAAAGAAGTAAAAATAGGAAAGTGGTCAGAGAGAGAAGAACTGATAACGCCAGATTTATGAGGAGAAAGATTGTTAGTAAAAATATTATCAATCAGTGATGCAGTAGAAGCAGTGACACGGGTAGGTATATTGATTAAAGAATAAAAATTAAACGAATACATTAAGTTAATAAATTCAATGTTATTATTATTGCGATCGTTATTTATTAAATCTATATTAAAATCACCTACAAAATAAACATATTTGCATGAGTTTGGAATTTTCAATAATAGTGATTGCAAATCATTTATAAAAGTTATTAGGAGGATGATAAATAACATATAATAAATAATTTTGACCATAAATGTTTAACAATTCAATATTAAGCAATTCAAAAGAAGGAGGACAATAAAGAAGGTCGTCACGAACAACATATTTTAAAAAATTAGAAACAAACATTCCAACACCATCCCCAAGAGTATGGTTACGATTTTTTGATACAAAATTAAAGCCAGGTAAACTAATTAAATTAACATTTGACTCATTAATCCAAGTTTCCGAAACACATATTACCAAAAAACGATTATTACAAACATTAATAAGAGCAGCAAGCTCTGACATTTTGTTATATAAACTTCTACTGTTTAAGTTTAGAATTGAAAAGACGTTGGAAAAGTTGGTGAAAGTATGAGAGGAGAATTGTTGACGATATCATTGAAAAAATTTAAATCTGGATCGATAGAATTTATATTAATATTTTTATCACGATTGACATTTTTATAGTTAAACGATGAAGATGAATCTGAATTAGCCATTCATATTGTTATTCGATTGAGAGACAAGGTTGGCAGCAGGTTGAGACTTTTGTGAATTGAAGAAGCACCATTCATGGAGGATGACATTATTTGGCCAATTTTCTTCATTCATTATGATGCTAAAGTCTGATTCAAAGAACAATATTCGAAAAGCTGCACTTGTTTTGACGTCATTATCTTGAGTTTTATCGTTATTACCTTTTTGATTTTTTTTATTAAATACAGATTTAGCTAGTGGAATGCATGAAATTGCATTTAAATTTAGAGACTTCAAATGATTGAGAACATCGTCGGAGGTGCATTGGTCCAGCTTACCAACATAGACCATTTTTTCCGTGGTTCTGTTTTCATAGATTTTAAATTCGACGAACAGTTGCTTTTTTTACCAATAACTTTTTTCATTTGTTCAATTTGTTGTTTGTGATGAACAAGTGCTGATGGTTCGATATTAGTTACAACTGGTGGTAACATTCTTGATTTTATTCTATTTTTGCTGCGTTCCACCAATGTAAAATTGTCATCATTTTCAATTAATTGCGCATCATTCATGCTGCTTCTATCGGCCCAGGAAAGTGTAATGTTATTAGTTGGGGTTGTCAACTCTTCATTCAACAAATTTTTGCTAATATTACGCACGTTGTTTGAAATTGAATAAGTATTTTTTTGTTATTATCCACAACGCTGGTTGTTTTATTAAAATGGAATGCTAGAGAATTATCTTTCTCGTTCACAACGTTAGAATTTATTTTATTTTTCAACAAATTAAGTTCATTCTTATTAATATCAACAGCTTCAACAATATTGTTCAACGTAGTAATATCAGCTTTGTTTTTTCCAACGGATTCAACAATTTTGTTCAATTGTACCTGTTATTTATCCAACATGCTTTTTAATTCATGTTTTATTGTATCAAAATTGATTGCCAGCAAGTTTTCAAACTTAGGAATTTTATTTTTATTCGCGCTAACGAATAAAGAACATTTGTTTTCTTTCAATAGTTTTATTAAAGAAATGCATTCGAACATTTTTTCTATTTTCATATTCTCGCGGGAAACCAATTTATCGTCTTTCTCTAATTTTATGTTATTTAACTCACTTTTTAATAATTTTATTGCAACAACAAAATCGTCGTGATTATAGAACGCAACAACATTATTAATGAACGACTCTTGCTCAATTAAACACCAATTATTTTCTAAAAAATACAAGAGCTCATTAATTACGTGTGACCTGGACGCCATTTTTTCAACCTATATATATATATATATATATATATATATATATATATATATATATTGGAACGAGGTTTTCTTTGATGCAAATATCGTTAAATATTTTTGCCCATTTTGCATTAATTAATTTTTTAATAAGGATTTCGACAACACGAAGCTGTTTCAATTCATATTTATTATCATTATGTGTCATCCTAAGCTTACAACATTGTTTCGACATACAGTCATCATCAGAGCCTGGTTTTACGAAATATCAAAATTGAATTATAATTTAAACATTAAAATCAAGAAATTTAATGAAAAGTGCAAGAAATGAAATTATGACGTTGAAATTACAAAATTAGAAATATGAAAATGTAAAATATGAAAAAATGTTACCTAGTAATAATAAAATATTGCAATAAAACAATAAACGGTTTTAAACGAATGAAATTAAAACAAAATTATGAAAATAAGTAAATAAAATTGTGTAGAAACGTATAATAAAACAATTCAGTTAGACGGGAAAAACAAGTGTTTCTTAGTGGGATGATATTAAAAGTGAAAGTCAGTAAGACGATATAAAAAAAGGTGAATGTAGAAATTAAAATTTATTATTATAATTAATAAATAATTTAGATAAAGATAAAAAAATAAATAAAATTTGAAACAAAATAAAATGACGTTATTAAAATAAGTATTGTAGAGAGATAAGTAATAAAAATATAAATATAAAAATATTATAAAATAAAAATAATTTAGCAGTTATTGAATAAGGTAGCAAGTGACGTGATGACCATGGATTTCGGACGTGACGTTAATAACTGTGTTTAACTGGTCGAAAATTGTCAGACGTAGAACGATATTCGTATCGTTTGGGTACTGAAACGTCTGTTGGCTTGTTTTCGACTGCAATCGTTGGTGTCAGTTCACGATATTGAGAAAATAATTGAAGGGTATGATCAAAACTATTATATTGTTTGTTTAATGTTGGTTTGTATTTGTTGATGTACAGGGCTTCGCGAATTTTGAGACGTCCAGTATTTAATACTGAATCCAGTATTGTTGTATTTGAATCCAATATGGTCCTAGTAAGAGGCATATGGTGCTCGTTGGACATATGGTCTTTAATGGCGCCGTCCTGCAAATGCATAGTGAGCCTACGAGAAAGAGTAGTACGCGTGTGGCCGATGTAACTTTCCACAACACTGTGTGGCATAGGACATGTAAATCGGTACACGACGTTCGTCCTCTCTAACGTAGATGAAGGTGGATTGTTGCTATTTTTTATGATGAGGTTTGAGGTGCGGTTGGTGTTGTAGTATATAATGAATTTTAGTCGACTGTTGTCGTCACAGACCGAAACGTTTGATTTGATGATTCGTTTAATTTGTGATTCATCCATTTTGTAGTTGTCGTGCATCTGGTTTAGGTAATATAATGGTATTACCTTTTTTGTTGAGATTACTGGAGTTATTGGATTATCTATTTTTTGCAAGTAATTTTTGATTGTAGAATCGATTGTTTTATTCGAATAATTGTAATTGATTAAAAATTGTTTGATCCGAATTAATTCGGATCTAAAAATATTGATATTTTGTATGCACGATGGATGAAATTGTAAACGACATTGTTTTTGTATCGGTCTGGACAATCAGATTTGTTATTAAGTACTTGACCTGAGTTAGAGGGTTTCACATAAACCCTAGTAGTTAACTGCTCTTCTTTTTCCTTAATTAAGCAGTCAAGGAATGCAAGTCGTTTTTCAGTGCTAAATTCTATTGTAAACTTTAGATGTGAGTTATTTTGAAAAATATTTTGTATGTTGTAAATTACTATGAGCATGATTTAATAATGAGTTTTAATATATATATATATATATATATATATATATATATATATATATATATATTTTAACTAAACAAACTTGAAAAT